GAGGCGGGCAGCGGGCTCTTGCCAACCACACTTTGGCGGCAGCGCGACTGGCTGGCTTCACTCCCGACAGCACTATACACCTCTCACACCCTATTATACCTCCATGGGCTGTGTAACTAGTGGGGTTCCCCAGGGGTCAGTACTTGACCCATTCTTTTTCATAATATACATAAACGATCTAGATACGTACTGGGACCAGCAGTGACATAAGCAAGTTTGTGAATATCACCAAAATAGGGCAGCAGATTAATTCAGGGCAGGATGCAAAATCACTCCAAGAGGATTTAAATAAACTGCAGGAGCGGTCAGAAAAATGGCAAATAAGAACATAAGAAAATAAGAAGTCTGCAATAGGCCGGTTGGCCTGTGCATGGCAGCTCCTGTCGAGAGTTACTACCACTCTCTATCATCCATGAATCTATCTTGCCTCCTTTTGAAACTTTCCAGAGTTCCCGCACTTACTACAAAGTTGCTAAGCTTGTTCCACTCGTCCACCACCCTATTTGTGAACCAGTTTCTTCCTATCTCCCTCCTAAACCTAAACTTATCCAACTTGAACTGTCCTATCCTGCTCGGATATTATAAAAACTTTATCTATATCCCTTTATTGATTCCTTTCACCCACTTAAATACTTCTATCATATCTCCCCGCACTCTTCGCCTTTCTAGGGAATGCAAGTTAAGTTTCTTTAACCTATCCTGATATGGAAGGTTTCTAAGTCCCGGAATCATTTTTGTCATTCTTCGCTGCACCGACTCTAGTGAATTTATATCCATTCTATAATAGGGGCACCAGAACTGAACCGCATAATCGAGGTGCGGCCTGACTAGCGCAAGATATAGTTGCAATAAAACCTCTGCACTCTTGTTACTTACACTTCTAGATATAAAACCCAATACTCTGTTTGCCTTATTTCGAACATTAACGCACTGTTTTCTAGGCCGTAGGTCCGGGCTTACAAGTACCCCTAGGTCTCTTTCACAAGTCGACTTCTCTAGGTTGATGTTGTTAAGGCTGTATACATTATAAGTATTTGTTCTTCCAATATTAAGTACGCTGCACTTGCTGGTGTTGAATTTCATTTGCCATTTTTCAGACCACCCCTGCAGTTTATTTAGATCCTCCTGTAATGCATTTGCATCCTGCCCTGAATTAATTTGCCGCCCTATTTTGGTGTCATCCGCAAACTTGCTTATGTCACTGCTGATCCCAGTATCTAGATCGTTTATGTAGATTATGAACAAGAGTGGGCCTAGTACTGACCCCTGGGGAACCCCACTGGTTACACGGCCCCACTCAGATTTAACACCATCTACGCTGACCCTCTGCGTTCTATTGGTGAGCCATGATTTTATCCAATTTAAAACTTTCCCCTCGATACCATGAGCCTTAATTTTTCTCAGAAGCCTCTGATGCGGTACTGTCAAATGCTTTGCTAAAGTAAGTAAATAACATCGTAATTTTCGTCATTATCTACTACCTCGAAGACTTTCCTAAAAAACGTTAGCAAGTGCAGCATACTTAATATTGGAAGAACAATTGCTGTCAATGTACAGTATTACTCCGCTTTACGCGTTTCCACGTTTACGCGGTACCCTGCCAGACACGGGATGCTCACTTTACGCGGTGTGTGTACTCTTTTACGCGGAGAGCGGCGCGGGCAGGGTGCGCACATCGCCCAGTCATCAAAACATTACCGAGTTCTTCACCCGCCACCCACCACAGCCGGCCCAAGTCAGTGATAGTGAGGATATGGACTTATATGGACTTTGAGGGGTTTGACAAAGAGGCCCTGCAAGCCTCTGTGGTGTATAGTGATACAGGTGAGGGCCAATAATCTGCCCTCTGCCTCAGAACCAACCCCCCATCCCCATGTGCTCAGCCATCTTTTCTACTAATGTAAGTGTTAAAAAACCTAATATTATTGGTATTTCTCTTAATTATTAATTGTGTGTGCATACCACCATAAAATTAAGAAGTTATTTTTACTAAAACGTAGGTATTGTGTCGGGAAATAGTGGAGTTTGATGGTCGGCCGGTCTCTATTTCAATTAATCCCATATGTTATGTTGTTCACTTTACGCGGGCCTCCGTGGGTTCAATTGACCGCATAAAGCGAGGGTTCACTGTATACAGACTTAACAACTTCAAACTAGAGAAGTCGACTTGTGAAAGAGACCTAAGGGTACTTGTAAGCCCGGACCTTCGGCCTACAAAACAGTGCGTTAATGTTCGAAATAACGCAAACAGAGTATTAGGTTTTATATCCATAAGTTTAAGTAATAAGAGTGCAGAGGTCATATTGCAATTATATCTTGCGCTAGTCAGGCCGTACATCGATTATGCTGTTCAGTTCTGGTGCCCTTATTATAGAATAGATATCAATTCACTAGAGTCGGTGCAACGAAGATTGACGAAAATGATTCCAGGACTTAGAAACCTTGGTCTATTTATAGTCTTACGCCAGTCTTTCTTTTGCTGTTATTTATATGTATTTCGTAAAGCTAAGACAATTCTAAGATATTTTTCTTTAGGTTTAGGAGGAAGAGAGGAAGAAACGGGGGTATTTTTTCTTACTTTAGGACATAGCACCCTCAAAAGTTATTAACTACTGAAACATTTAGATCTCGCTATTCTGAGCATTTTGAACCCCTTTATACATGGCAGAAATGGATAATAGCGACACAATTGAATTTAATTGATTTTACGTACTTTTCAGTCTTCGTCTGTCAGGAGATATTACCGCTATGAAACCGAGTTAGCTATGGATCACGCAGGCACGATATTTACCGACGTCATCCAGTCGTGACCAATGATATATCGATATCAGCCTTCGATTTATTTTTGACCAATCACATTTCCATTTTTCAGAGCAGCCTGGGTACGTATTTGAAAGTCTACGGATTTCAAATTCAATGACCAGTCTGACAATGGGCGTGGTTGAGGTTGGGTGTCAATCTTGCTCATACGATTATTTTAAGTTTATTGCAGAATTTTATGAAAAAGACGATAAAACTACAGATTTTTTACGTAATCACGGTGTTCTCCCTACTTTTGTTGAGTGCCCGCACTGTAAATTACCTTGTAAATTTAGAAAGGACAAGAAACAGTGGTTCTGCAATCGCTCAAGGAGGTTCGTTAAGAAGATAATTACAAAGATCTCTAAATACGTGATCTCAGACTATAACGGCACTTTCCTTGATGACACCTGACGAGGAGGTTGATGACCCTGAACCTATCCTTGGTCCTTCCACTTCTAATTAAGTTATTATACTTTTGGACATAAGAACATAAGAATGGAGGAAACTGCAGCGGGCCTATTGGCCCATACTGGGCAGTCCAACCAATGCTTGAAGCAATTCAGCGTATTCGAGTTAATGATGATATTTGGTAACTTGTTCCATTCATCCACTACAGTACTCTGTTTCCAAACCAGTGTTTACCTATTTCACGCCTAAATCTAAATTTGTCTAATTTAAAACCATTGTTACGAGTTCGCTCCTGGTTGGATAGTTTGAGTACCTTTGTAATGTCCCCTTTGTTTAGCCCTGCCTTCCACTTATACACCTCTAATATCAGGTCGCCCCTCGCTCTACGTCTCTCAAGGGAGTGCAAATTAAGATGCTTTAACCTGTCTCTATACTCAAGGTTCCTAATGCCCGGGATTAGTCTTGTCATTCTCCTCTGAATTCTTTCCAAGGATTCTATATCCATTCTGTAATACGGTGACCAGAACTGAACTGCGTAATCCAGGTGTGGTCTCACAAGCGCAAGATACAGTTTTAGGATGACCTCGCTAGTCTTGTAACTAACACTCCTTTGTATGAACCCAAGTACTTTATTAGCCTTGTTACGAGCAAAAACACATTGTTTACTTGGCTTAAGGTTTCTACTTATCATTACTCCTAAATCTCTCGCAGTCGGATTTTCTATGGCATCGTTGTTCATCTGGTATCTGGTTTCCTGTTTACATCTCCCATACTGAGTACTTTACATTTGTCCACGCTGAATTTCATCTGCCATTTTTCAGACCATTCAAAAATTTGTTTAGATCTTCCTGTAGTTTTGCCAGTCCTCATCAGATTTAATAACACGCCCTATTTTAGTGTCATCAGCAAATTTACTTATGTTGCTGTCAATGCCGATATCTATGTCGAGTTTATGCGTATATAATAAATAATAATGGTCCAAGTACTGAGCCTTGGGGAACTCCACTTGTGACGTTGCTCCAATGGGACTTAGTGCCGTTAATGCTCACTCGCTGTTTCCTGTCCTGTAACCACGCCCTAATCCATTTAAGGATGTCACCTTTGATGCCATAAGCTTCTACCTTTCGAATTAGTCTTTCGTGGGGGACTCTGTCGAAGGCTTTGCTAAAGTCGAGATATACCACATCATAATTGTGCCCCTCGTCCACCGATTTGAAAACTGATGAAAAGAATGTTAATAGATTAGTTAGGCCCCCAAAGTTTTAAACTACTGAAACATTTAAGTTAGTTTAAACTAGGCCTACCGGGGGCCCGTGACAGAGCCCCGGCTAGGAATTAGGTTAGGTAAAAGTAAAAATTTACCGAAACGGGTTCACAAATAGGGTGGTAGATGAGTGGAACAAGCTTAGCAACTTTGTAGTAAGTGCTGAGACGCTGGAAAGTTTTAAAAGGAGACTAGATAGATTCATAGACGATAGAGTGGTTGTAATTCCCGACAGGAAATGCCGTGCACAGGCCATACCGGCCTATTGCAGACTCCTTATGTTCGTATGTTCATATATCAACATTCAACACATCAAAGACAATTTTGCAAACATATTTTCCCTATTGCTTCTTTACTCTACTTGTCCCTATAATATAATGAAGTATGGACGTGTTTTTGTACGGTTATAATGGTCGTAATAACTTACTGAACGGAAAATATACAGATACATGAGCAAATAATATATGGTACTACAATTACTACAATATACGGTTTACTAAGTAGACGTTGATGATTAGAAACTTACTTTTATGGAAACTTACGAGTTGCTCTAGTAATATCACAACAGAGAACAGGCGTTATACGGCACCACTCACGTTATCATAATCAAATTACGGAAGAAGGATGGTAATTCATCCAATGTTCTTGTTTAACTTGCTACTCCCGCCCGCTGTGATGGCTATAAACACCCTGACACAAGGTGGATGGATTAAGATACTATGTGTGGAGGCTCTCACCCGCCAAACCTCCTCTTCCCTCACCAAACTCTCTATAAACACGATATTCAAAACAGAAAATGGCGCCGTTGGTCAGCGAAATTTGAAACATCAATACCCGCGGTAGGAGGAATGTGAGAAAACAACTGAAGTTAAAACACCATCAAAAACATTTCGATGAATAATTCATGAGTGCATGAGTAATTTCAACTGAATAAAATATTCAAAAAATAAATTATTATCAATTTGCATGGCTCGACGAGATATTTAAAATTACTTCATCAAGAAGGATTTTTGTTTACAAGTCTTACTGTATCTTGGATGTTTTTCCATAATTTGAGTATGCGAATTTCATTGGTGATGGATACCAATCTGTTTTTTGAGATTTTAGGGGTCAAATATTTTAGCGAAATAAAAACACTTCTTTCGAACTGTTGTAGTGGATTCCTCCCCTACAAACGCTTGTCGCTGAGTAGCCGACCCCGCGAATTCCCCAGTGTATGCCTTGTGGTCCAGGTCAACCAGCGCCGCCTTACATGACGGAGGTCAACTATTAAGCCACGCTTACCTCCGCTATATAAGACCTGCACTAGCGTAGCTAGGGGGGGGGCGGTCCGCCCCGGGAGGCACTTTTGGGTCTGCTCATCACCCATATCTGCAGCTATTGGAGACGCTAATCCATCCCTTTGTATCGGCGGCAAGTTAATCCTTGTCGTGTCTGACCTAACACCTGACCCACATCATCACGGCCACGTCATGAGCTACGTACACCCTTGCTATGCGCCCCCCACCCCGCCACACACAACCTGTAACCTGTTGAGGATTAAGGAAACAACTTCAAACAAGTACGCCAGTGAGCTCATGTGGTGTGGGTCAGGTGTTAGGTCAGACACGACGATGATTAACTTGCCGCCGATACAAAGGGAAGAATTAACGTCTCCAGTAGCTGCAAACCATGCAGTCTCGGGTCATATCAGTTCATGTACAGCCGACCAATCCACCAGTTACAAGCAATTCACTTCAGTTCTGCACAAGTCTCCATCGTGACAAGACGAGGGAGGCTAGACGACTTTAAGTTCTCTTGTGTTTTGATCCAGTTATTTACTGTTGGAAGACGTAATACTATAAGGTAAGAGATATTAAAGTATTGGTTAAAAAATATTGATGTGACTTTTGCTGCGGTACTGAGATTAATATTAAGATTTTGTTTCACAGCATTGCGATTTTATACTAAGACACTATCCTCACTGGACAGACAAAAGCCCCCCGACAAAAGCACCCAAAGCTCCCCAGACGAAAGCCCCCGACAAAAGTTCTTCGACAAAAGCCCCTACTTTGATCAGGGTGGCTTTTGTCTGACAACAGTAAGGGCTTTCAAAAGTTACGGACATAATTAAATAGTTGAGGGTAAAATATACTGTTCTTCTCTGTGGTTAATTACACTGGGGAACAAAATTCAACTTTTTGTCAGTTGCATACATTTTGAAACCTGTTTCTGGGTAAATTGAGGTCACTGATTTCAAATATGGCACCGGTTTTTTTCTATCGGGTCTAGTTTTGTTGCGGTGAGTTACCTACCATTTACTACTATACAGTATATAGTTAGACTACCATATACTACTGCTAAAAATCTAAACCAGCACACGAGAGGAATTACCAAACAGAATTAATTTTTACATTTTATTTACCTTGACAAGCATATTTTGGATTCATCAGTTGCTTTTGTGAACTATGCCAGATTTATTCAGGCACAAACTTGCGTTTAATGGACTGTCTTGAATATCGCCTTCAGTGCAGTCTCGCTGAATGCTCCAGCAATAGTCCGCCATCATGTGAATGTCCCAGCGACCTTGATACCTGTCTTCCATGACTTTGATATCCTGGTAGGTTCACCTTGCTCATCACTCCGTCCCCAAGTTTGCCGGAAACAGTTCAAGATGACTGTTCAGAAATGCATCTTAATGCTCATGTTGCAACCCAACACATGGAAATCTTTCCATCAAAGATTCAACGAGCTTTTATAGTCCTCTGATTTCCTGTTTCCAAGAAAGTTCTTACAACAGAAACGAATGCTCCTATGCATTTCTCTCAACATCAGTCATGGATTGAGTGAAGGCTTGGTCTTTAATCAACGTCCTAATTTGAGGCCGTCGAAAATACCTGCTTTGAGTTTTTCTAGCGTTAACCAGGAACACTTCACACAGATACTTAAAACAGTCACTGTCAGTATCGAGCGCCTTGACAAACTGTTTCATAAGGCCCAGCTTGATGAAGGGCGGGAAAACACGTTCCACTAGGGGTTCAAAATGATGTTCTTTTCCCCAACATTGAGGCTTTCCTACTGGCCATTCCTTCTGAATCCAGTGTCTGTCTTTGGCTCTGCTGTCCCAGAGGCAGATAAAGCAAAGAAATTTTGTATACCCACCTTGCTGTCCTAGCAAAAAATTGACCATTTTTAGATCAACACAGATGATCCATTTGTGTTCTTCATATTTGAGTAGCTCCAAAACCGTTTTGATGTGTTCATATTTTTCTTTCAGGTGTACTGAGTGTCCTATGGTTATTGCGCCAAAGATGTTGCCTATATGTAATAAAACACACTTCAGACTCCGCTTAGAGCTACCTATAAAGAGGCGCCACTCTTTCGGATCATAACCTGGAGCTCCCATCGCGGTGACTAATCCAGAAATATCACAACAGTAGACGAAGTCAAATTTAGAATCAAAGAACTGTAAGAGGTTCTTTTCTCTGTTGCGAAAGAATGTTACCTTTGTGTCTATTTTCAGCAAGTTTTTATCTTTTAACCGTGAAGCCAACAATTCTGACAGCTTTTTAGACAGACCCAGATCTCGAACTAAGTCAAAACTAGACCTGATCTGCACAAACGAATGCCATTTTCAGAATCTGTGACCTCAAATCTACCAGAATCAAGTGTCAGAACTCATGCAACCGAAAGTGTGTTCCCCAGTGTTATTGGTTAGGTTAGGGTTAGGTTAAGTTAGGTTAGGTTGGGCTAGGTTAGGTTAGGGTTGTCAGACAAAAGCCACCCCGATCAAAGTAGGGGGCTTTTGTCTGGGTGGCTTTCGTCGGGGGGTTTATGTCAGACATCCATTTTCACTGTACTCTGAGTCTGTAATTTTAGATTAAGTTGCTACTTTTTACATTTCCATTGTATTACATTGATACTAGTGTCATTGTACCGTGATTTTAGATCAAGCTGTTTGCTACTTCCTATCTGTCTCCTACTATTCAGAACGAGTTTATAGAAATTTTGGGAGAAAACGTAAGAAGCAAAGTCATTAAGCAAGTAAAAGAAGCAAAGTACTTTTCCATGATATTCGACAGCACTCCTGATATTTCACATAAGGATCAAACGAGCCAAGTTTTACGCTATGTTATGATCGATGGAGATAAAGTGAAGGTTGTGGAATCATTTGTCGATTTCATTGAAACAAAAGGTAAAACCGCCGAGAATATTTCAATGATGATTTTGGAAAAATTAGAGAAAGACGGAATTGATATTCAAAATTGTAGAGGGCAAGCATATGATAATGCTGCGGTGATGGCTGGTGTTCAGAAACGTATCAAGGAAATTAATAAAAAAGCAGAATTTGTCGCTTGTACAAATCACTCGCTCAATTTGGCGGGTGTTCATGCAGCTTCTGTTGCTGTGAATTCTGTTACCTTTTTTAGATGTGTGGAACGTTTGTTTGTATTTTTTTCTTCATCAACCCATCGCTGGGATGTTCTAACTTCAGTCACTGGTCAAAGTGTCAAGCGCATAATAGAAACTCGGTGGAGTGCGAGGGGAGAAGCTGTAAGTGTTGTAAAGAAACATTTCTCAAAAATCTTAAATGCCCTAGATAAGTTAACTGGTGAAGAAGAAAATACGGCTACCAGGGCAGATGCTGGTGTTCTACTTGGTGCATTGCAATCATTTTCCTTTTGGTGCTTTCTTGGCCTGTGGGGACCCGTCCTTCTAGAAATTAACGACACACAGACTTACCTCCAAACCAAGGGCTTGAACATACAACAATGTGATATAAAACTCAGGGCATTAGAAACATTTCTAGTTGAAAACAGGGACAAGCTAGTGAGTAATGGAGTTAACTATGCCAAAGAAATTTGCAATGATCTGGGGATAGTCATGGGGCGTCAGCGTCGACCCAAAAAGAAGAAACAAATGTTTGGTGAAGGATCACGAGATGCTGAATTGCCATACGACATTGAATTGAGGAGAGAAATGTTTTCTTCGCTGGACAGAGTGATCCAAGAAATAACTTTGAGATTTCAACAGCTTCATGAACTTGCTGAGAAATATGCCTTCCTTACCCCATTGAATCTTTTGGATGATAAATATGAGTGTCAAATAGATCACGATCACGACGACATTGATAAAGAGGAGTTCCTCGTTGAGAAAAAAAGACTTCAGCATTTTGTTGCTGTTGCTGCTATAACTATTAAAGACAGAATACAGACGTGGAAAGAAGGCCCCCTTGAACTTTTGCAGTTTATTCAAAAGTATAACCTTGGGAACTCGGTTCCAAATATAGTAATAATGCTGAGGATTTTCCTCACAATTGCTGTTAGTGTTGCTACCTGTGAGAGGAGTTTTTCGAAACTAAAACTGATCAAGAATTACTTAAGATCTACTATGAGCACCTTGCGGTTGAGAAATCTTGCCATACTGTCTATAGAGCGACAATTGACAGATGAAATAGTTTTTGACAGTGTCATTGAAGAATTTACCAACAAAAAAGCAAGAAAAGTTACTTTGTAGAAAGTTGTAGTTTTCATTTCAAAAATAAAGATGGTCCTTAATTTTTACACTTTATTTACTTTTTTCCCTATCCTATATGTCGTTTTTGCTTTTTGTTTAACTGTTACTTATAAAGTTTAAGTATGTTTGGTGTGTATTTAAAGCATAGCCTACTATATTTGAGTATGTGAAAGTACAGTAATATTATAATGGTACACAAACTATTCAATATATATATATATATATATATATATATATATATATATATATATATATATAT